AGCAGATCTCTGTCGGGCTGAAAGAACATCTTTTAGATAAACAATTAATAAACATAAAAACCGAAAGAAGAACTGAAGCCTCTTCTCGTCCTTCGATACGCGGGCTGTCCCAAGGCCACTCCGGGCCTTTCCAGGCCCTTCAAACAGCCCAGAAACCCGACACCAATCCACCCAGTCTTTCTGCATCCTGAACAAAAGTGTTCATTTATTACTGCTTTTCAGATAAGAAATGAAAAAGTCTAATATAGACAATAAACAAATCTGCGTGTATGTACCATGCATGTATCTGTTTGTGTCTCTGTTGTCTTTAACCATATCATCTACAAGAAGAGGCATCAGATGCATTTTTGATGGTCTTCAATAGTATCTAGCTCATCAGGGACCTTCATGGGGAATTTGCCTTCCTCTCCGTTTTAACCTTGGTGTTTGGGAGTTGCTTGGGTGCAGTTCTGTGTCTTGTGGCAAGAAATGCCATTTTAAAGGTGTGGGTAGAGCAGAAGCTGAGCTGGTGGAAGAGAAACATTTACATCTTGAGTGAGCGTCCTGTCCTGTGTGACAAATGCAGAGACTCGAGGGCACAGGCTTCAAGCAGTTGGAAGTGTGCTTGGCCAGTCATCCTGCGCAGCTGAGACTGCATTTTACGAAGCATTTTGCTCTGTTCATGGTCATCACCGAAGTGGGCAGGGATCATGTCTTGGAGGTGAACATGGGTGAACTTCTCCTGAATTACTTCACAATTTTAGCGAAGAATTTAGAGAGAAATCTCTGTTAGGCACATAAACTTGTAGGAAAACAACCGAACCCAGTCCTATTTGTATGGAAATGTCAATAGAAAACGCTAATGAGGGTGCTTCGAACAATAATTACAGATCTGGGCAGGGCAGGATCGCAGGGATAAGTGGCCTGAGCAGTTTCTGCTCTACTGGCAGCAGCGATAAAAAGCCCTTTTGTTGCTCTCAGACCTACGACAAACGAGCTGCAAAAAACCCCGAGATGCCGGCCCCAGGATCCCCCTGTGGTGCCAGGTTTCCAGCAGGCACACGAGGTGCACAGCTGCCGTGCGCTGGGAAAGGCTCCCGGCTGCCCTCCAGCCCTGCCAGCGCCGGGACTGCCCCACTGCCCAGGGCCTGGCCAAACCAGGGAGCTGAGTCAGGGCCTGCCCCACTGCCCAGGGACACCCAACGGGCCTAGCCAAACCAGGGAACTGCCGCCCCAGCTTTCCCTCAGGTGATTGTAATCATCATCATCACGTATCACTGCTGAGACCCGACTGGCTCTCAGGCTGGGAATGACCCTTTTAAAAGGACGCAGGTGAATCAGATGAAAGGAGCGCAGGGGCAGCTGCGGTTGGTGCTCCAGGACGGACGCTCTGCGGAGTCGGCTCTTCGAAGTTGGTAAGGGAAAGCTTTGCTAAGCACCGGGTTTTGTCGCCGAGGTGAGGCTTGCTTCGCTCCTCGAGGAGGTGGAGAAGTTGTGGAAGAGTGCAGGGCTACCATTACCTAAGGGAAAATCGCTTTGGTGCCCGGCTCAGGCCCGGGCTGTGCCCCTGCGGCCGGTCCCGTGCTGGCGTGGGCTCAGGGGAGCGGAGCTGTGGCTGCTGCCAGCCTTGGCTGTGTTGGGAAAGCAGAAGGTAGGAACACCAGTCATCTGTTGTGTTCGACTTTATTGTTGTTTGAGATTATAGTAAATACTGAGCATAAGCTGGGGTGTAGATTGTAGTTGCGTGTCTTTCCAAAGATAGATATGGATACTATTAACCTGTGCCCTGTTTATTTTTTCCAACTCGCTATTTTACTGCAGTAGTGTTATAGTGCATTTTTATTGTTGTAATGTCTATATGTAGTGAGAGAACACACATGTTGGGTTTTTATGCTTTTGTTTTTTTCTAATAATAAAACCACTCTCTTCAGCTTGGTGACGATGGAATCTGCTTTTGTCCTTGTATGCAGCTATGGGCTTGTTTACATGGCTTCTACCTCCCTTCTCTGCCTAGGCTTTCTCACCCGCTGTGTTCAGTAGGAAAGCAATGAACATTTGAAAGGCTAAACCTCAACGTAACTGGGACCCTCAATCAGTATATTCTTCTTCCAGTTTCTTCAAATCTCTTTGTCCTGGGCACTCAGTGTGGCCTTTTCCCTTGAAGCTCTGTGGCTGTCTTAAATGCTTATGGTGTAAAAGGCAATGCCTGGTCTATTTTCACCTGCTGGAAGGGAGGTAGGACTGGTACTGGAGACCTGGCAGCTTGTCCAGGAAGCAAATCTTATTGAAATAATGGCAATGTGGACAAGGCATGTGAGTCAGGGTGGTGAGCTCAAATGTGGAAGTACTTGCGATGTCCCCTCAGTATGTTACAGTTAAAGAGTATGGTCTCTTCTTATTTCTGTAG